CAAAGTAATGATTATGCTAATAATAATAATGAAAGTCATAATAATGATAATGATAGTAATAATAATGACAATACTGATTATGAAGGTAACGATGATGATACCAAGAATAATGAAAGTGATAATAATGATAATGTGTATGTATGCGTCATAATGTTAAAAGATAATAATTCTGATAATGTTAATGAAAATATTGATAATGAAAACAATAATAACAATAATGAGGATCCTAATAAAAAGGATACTAATAATAATGATAAAGCTTTATCTTTGCTGTCTGTCATTTCTCTACTCTTCATTCTCTTCTTTCTTAGATTCCCATTTCTCTCTAAATTCAACCCTGTCTTTTGTGCTTTCAGGTTCTATTGCTTCCGAATTTTTAACCTGCAATCAACTTATCCTTTGTATTCTACACATACCACCCTAAGTTGTTTACTTCACTCTTTATACTTTCCACGCAACATATAACCCCCTACTTTTTCTCTTGACACATAAGCCCTATTAACGTCACCCTTTGGGTGCAATAACAAATGGAAGGTAAATAGTCTTTCTCGTTTTTCTGTTTAACTCTTTCAGCTCTCTAGGTAACCATTTTATTGTACTATACGTTAACACTGAGGCAGACTATGTATTAATGCCATAGATCTTATTCTTACCATGAGATTTGATTTTATCGCTAATTAAAGTCTTCTCTTTTATTCGTTTGCGAATATATCGTTCATCTCCTATTCCTTCACTCCAGCAACTTCTATTACGCCTAAATACTTATACCAATTTTCTTTTACCTCTTTCATTACTTGTCCACCTGGAAGTGTCACTCCATCCATTGTCAAAATTCGTCAATTTCGTCAATCCAAAATCCACCTACATGTCCTGGCTGAATGCGTGTACAGTTCGCACAAGAGAGTTTACTTGCTCATGAGTTTTCCTAATCAAATTGAGATCACCCAAGAACAGAAAAAAATTGATATTAAATTATCCATGACTCCATTCATACCCAGTTTTTATCCCTCTCAAAACCATTGTCAGGGGTACCGTATACAACACGAATAGTAGAGAAGATAAGCTCATTGAAAAAGCCCTCTCCTTATCTGCCGAAGATTTTAATTCTGTCTTCCATATCGCCATGCTATTTATAAAGAAATTTTGTACACTTGCTATCTAACTATTAGGCTTATGTCTTATATCTTCCTGTAATATAAGAAATGGCAAATTTGGCATGTCTTCTTTTGCAGTGTCTCAGGCCAATTTTGTCTATCAAGAATTGGTCCTTATTTCCCCTATCTCCTTTACATCAACCTTTCTGTTCCACTGGCAATGTTCTTTTCTCTCATCCAAGTACTATATAGGCTTTCTGGAACGACGCTTGTTATTCATTACCACATGAGAGGTAAGCAGGATATTGGTCTGATATCATCTACTGCATTCCCCTTATCTGATTTTTTTTTTTTTTTTTTTTTTGGGGGGGGGGCATAATATGGTTTTGGCACGGACCATTAATCATAGTTTCCCTTATTATGATTTTGTCTAAAAAAGACTAAGTCAGACCAGTGACATCATCTTTCAGCCTTGTTCTACTATGCAGCGAAAGCACTGACGGATTAGATCCCCCACAAGAGACTTCCTTTAATACTCCATAAGCTTATATTTCATCTCTGTTTTTTTCACCACTCTCATGACCCTCTTGATACATTTTTCATAAACTGAAATGCTATTTCTACACAATTCCTTGATATTTATCGTTGCTATAAAGCAATATTGTAGACATGGGATATGAAATCCTTAGCGTTTCAATCTACTAAAACATTTTTTTAGAAATATTTGTAAGAAAAAGCAACAATTTAAGACTAAGCCATTAGACACTTTGAAGAAGATTCGAAGTAAAGGAATGTACCAATTTCAGGCGCACCTGTAATAGGGCAGTATTTTAGCATTTCAATGGTAATACGACCACTTTAAAATATGAAAGCTCGAAATTTGTATATCAAGAAATTGCAATTATTATTACACGATTAGTTCTTTATAGTACCTATATAACACTTTTATCAAAGAAGTTATTTTACCTGCATAAAAGCCTTGATAGGCCATATTTTAAAAACTATACCATTCATCACTATATTCTATTTCTAACTCGGTGGGACATATAATGGCTTGCTCACCTCAACAAAAGTTGACTGGAGACATTACATAATATTTATGGATTAGAAAAAATGTATTGCTACTGATTATAAGAGGGGTATACTCTAGCCCAGTATACAGATCATAGTATATTTTAAACTAGCCCATTTCATACCCAGAGGTATAAGGTAGGCTAGGCCCAATTATACTCCGAGGGTTATTCTGGGCTAGCTTCCACCATACCCGGGTATATTCTTGGAGGGGGTTTATCTGGGCTGCTACACCGGGGTTTGCTGAGGCGATTTCTGATCGTTACGCAGCGCTTGACAACCTGACGGACCCTGTATTTCTGTGGGATACTTTCAAGCTTGAAGAGCTCGATGCAGCTCAAGAATCGAATGGTGAACGCCCAAGCACAAGGCAGAAGACACTGGAAGCCACAGAAGATCCTCGCTGGTGTCCTTGCACCAATACTTTTCAACACTTGCATGGACTGGATACTGGACAGAGCTACTGTCCAAA